TGGTTGAGATAAGCCACGAGGCGCCGCATCTCCTCCAGGGCCTGAGCCTGCATGAGGATGTAGTTCTTGGCCAGCAGCAGCGTGGCGATCTTGGAGAGCTTCCTCACCGAGGGGCTGTGCGCGTAGGGGATGACGGCCCGCAGCTCGTCCAGCGCGTCGTTCAGGTCGTGCATCCGCCGCCGCTCCCGCGCGTTGATGTTGAGGCGCAGCGCCTTCTGCTCCTTGGACTTCTTGCTGCCGCCGTGCCCGTGCCCGTTGGAGCAGCCGCCCTCGGCAGCCTTCAGCCCCCCGCCCCCCCCTCCTCCCGGGCCGCCGCCACCGCCGCCGCCCGCCGCCGGCGAAGCGTCGCGCGGGTCCCCCCCGGCGCCGCGCAGCAGCAGCTCGCAGCGGCCGTCGCTGTCGTCGTCGGGGCTCTGCTCGCCGCCGCTGCTCTCGGCCACCGAGCTGCGGCTGGCGCTCTCGCCGTACTTGACGCAGACGGAGCCCGGCGGCAGCGCCAGCGGGTCTCCGCCGACGCCGGGCTGAAGCAGCGCCTCGGGCTCCGGCGCTTCGTAGCAGGCGAGCGGCGAGGGCTGGCGGTCGCGCGGGTGGGAGAGGTCGAGCCCCGGGGGCGAGCGGAAGGCGGACTCCATGCGCTTGGCCGAGGCGGCGAGGCTCTTGTGGAAGAGGTCCTCTTCCGCGGGCAGCCCCAGCGCCCGCTCCATCGGCGCCTCCGCCTCCTCCGCCCCCCTCAGCTCCCGGCCCGCTCCTCCAAGGCTCCTCCGCGCCGCGGCGGGCGGCTCCCCGGCGTCCCGCGGGCGAAAGGCGCCTCCCGGCTCCCGGCGGGGCTGCGCCGCGCTCGGTGGCCCCGCTCCGCTCCGGGTTCCGGCGGCGGCTGGCTGTGCTCCGGCGGCGGCTCCCGCTGCAGCTCCGGCTCCGGCTCGCCCTCAGCAGGCGCCGCGCTGGGGCATTGTGCGCTGCCAGCCGCGCCGCTTCCACCGTTTATCTTGCTTGGATTCACCTTCAAGAGATTTCCGGACCCATCAACCAGCAGCCGCCGCAGACGGGGGAGTCTTTTACATCATTATCTCGGAGAGTAGGTTATTATGGAGAAGAGTCGCCTGTTGGGACAGAGCTTTCTACCCAATCAGGTTAACGTTTTAATTAATAGGATTAAAACGGTAACAAACAATCCCAGGCGCTATCTGGCCCCGAGTCTGAATAGTTTCATTTCCCAGGTCTGCAGGCAGGCAGCAGCCCGAGCTTTATAAGCGGCGCCCGCTCCATTATTCTCGCTGCCATCTGTATACACAGCTTAACGCATATGTTTGCAAGACGTTGTGTCCTGTTAGTAACCCAACAACTGCCTTTAGCTTGACATGTGTGGCGACTTTCACTCATCAATGAGCACACTAAAAGCCCTACTTAGATCGAAGGATGTTCTTTGCCTCCTTCAGCAAATTGCAGCCCCGCGCCGCGCCGGAGCCGCCCGACTCCCACTGCCTCGGCCGTGCGGGCGGAGGGACACCCTCTTCCCCCCCCCACCCCCCCGCAGCCCACCCGCCCCCCGCGTTTACATCCACTCAGAGCCCCCTCCCTTCCCCCCCTCCCCGCGGAAGGGAAAAGAAAAAAAAAAAAAAAGAGAGAGACAACTGAGAAGCCCCGGCCCAGCTCGAGCCGAGGTGCTCCCGGGGGCGGGGGAGGGGGGGGGGGGGGGTCCCAGCCTTCTCCACCCCCACCCGCAGAGAGATCCCGAACCGCGAGGAGGTTCCCCTCCTCTCCAAGCAGCAGATTGCCTCTAGCTAATGCTTATCCCGCGCGTCCCTATGGAAAAATAAATCCCCGGCATTTACCTCGGTCCGGGGAGGAGAGAGGGCAGAGAAAGCCCCAAACCCACCAAGTAAGACCCGAACCTACCAAGACGGCCCCTAACCCACCAAACTTTTTAAGACGATCCCCCAACTCTTGACAGCGCCCTCCCTCTTTCCGTCCCTCTCTCGGGGCTCCGCTCGGTTGGCAAGCCGGGACCCCGCACCCCCTGCCCCCCTCCCGCCGGGCTCCGTCAGCCGCTCCCCGCTCAGAGCCGCTCTCCTTCTCCACTGCGGAGCGCTCTGAGAGCACCCACTATTTAGCGGCGGGTTTTCGTTTCGGCGACATCAGTAAAGACAATATTTCCCAACGCTTCTACTAAATCATCCTTATGGGGCAGAATTACCGAGGGCTATGAAATTTTTTGGTTTCCCCGCTTTCATTAAAAACCTTTTAATTGTGTCTTTCGGAGTTGGCCCCAGGTGTTGGACTCTTTTCATTACATTTTGCTCTAATGTGATGAAATTCTAATTCTCTCCTTACCATATGGTTAAATTTCCCCACTGAGAATTAGTTGAAAAAGGAGAAATAATCTATTAATCTCTGTAATAGATTCACAAATGAGCTTTGCCACAGAACCTGTTTTTGAATGGTAATATGGGAACAGTTGGGTGCCTTGTTTCAGGGAAGAAAGGAGCAGGCGACAACAGCAAACGTTTGAATTTTCACCTGGAAAGAATGAAAAGGAGCCAAGCTGCGAATCTCCGAGTAATTGACTGAGATTTCAGAGAGCGAGGACAGGACTATAATGCGGACCTTACAATGCACACCCCGGCACCGGGTGTCCCCAGGCCAGCCGGGCCCTGAAGGACGGGCTGCCTCAGCCCTGTCCCTTCCCTGCCCTTGCTCCTCTCCCTGGTCCCGGCCAAGCGAGCAGCCACCGAGCTGCTCACCCCTTGCCACGCGTTAACCTCCATCGTTAGCGATCCAAAAGCATTTTGCCTTTTCCACCCCCCACCGTTAGCAACTTCCTTTTCCTTGGGACCTTCAACAAAGGCGTTTGTCACCCCAGAGTATTTATTTATTATTATTATTGTTATTTTAAATTTCAATCAGAGCCACCTTATGAAAATCACGCGGTCACTTGAGGATGACGGACGCTGTTACTCCGATTTGACGGCTAAGGGGAACGTTTCACCGCTGGCAGCTTCGAAGACAGAGATCTCCGGCTCCATCCCTCTCCACTCATCGCTTTCTCTGCCCCTCCCTCCCTTCTGCCTGACCCTTCGGGGCCCGTCCCGTCGGGCCGACTGCACTCCCGCCTCCTCCTCTCCGCTCTCCCCCAGGTGCGCTCTCTCCGTCTGCTGTTTCTCTCCGTACGTCCGATCTTTCTGCCCACCCCGTCACCGTCTCGCTGCCCGAGCTCTTCGTAGTCTCAAGAACTTGAGTTTGGGAGCGGACAGAAGAATTTATAGAAGCTCTAAATGCGGGGCTTATAAAAACACCGAGGAATGGTCTTTGAGGTTTATGCACTCGTAAACTTGCTGATTGCTTCTGGGAAGTTGTCAGGCATTTAACATCGCGTTTATCTTACAGTGCAATGAAAACACATCTGTCCAGATCCTCGTTACCTGCTTTAATTGCACCGTGGCCCTCTGCCATTGGTTGCGCGTTATTTCGGGGTAGGAGCGGCCCTCAGCCGCAGGAGGGAGCGCGGCCCGGCCCGCAGTGAGCAGCCCGACCGCGTTCCCTCTCCGGCCGCAGCCGGACGGAGAGGAGAGCTGCGAGGTGGGATTCAGGCCGAGGGTTTCACGCAGCTCCCGGTCCGCCTGTCCCCGGCTCCAACACCGCACGCCGGGACCGAGCTGCCCGGACAGCCGCGGGGCTCGAGGAGAGCTCTGCCTTCCCCGCAGATCCCTGCGTTTGTTCTTCTCTCGTTGGCAAAGTTTATGTGAGTTCGAGGTGAAGAAAAATAAAGGGTTAAAAATAATGACAATGACGGCCCCGCTGCAGCCCCTCTTAGCGTACAGCCCTCACAGGCGTCTCCGCAGAAGTCTGTGAATTCCCGACTTGGCAAGGGCTCCATGTAAGGGTGAAGGACGTCCCCGGGCTGCGGGGGGAGCATCTCCCCATCCCGGCGCCGTGAAGCAAAGGGAGAGCTGCACAGGTGCTGACTCTATAGCGGGGCACATATGAACCGTACTGGAGTGAGAGTGCGGCGCCGCTCCTCCAGAAATGGGCGGCCCTAGGAGTAAGGAAGGAAAAGTCTGAGAGATCTGTGCCACCTGAGGGTCCCCGGGGAGACCCCCGGCCTCTAACCGACCCCTTCCCCGCAGACGACGGGCAGAGCCCCGATCCCGACGCGGCACTCCCGATCCAAAATCCACAGCACCATCTCCTGGGCAGCGGGCGCAGTGCAGGGCTCCTGCGAGGCGCCGGGCTCGGCTCGGGCTGCAGGGAAGGGCCGGCATGGGGTTGGGGGCACCGAGAATTGCCACCTGACTGTGCTGCTTTGAAAGCCGAAGCCTAGGGGGTAAGGGACGGGCTTGGGTAGGAGTCAAAATACTTTATGTTTTATCTACACATTTACATGGTCCCAAATCAGGGAATGTGTGTACTTGAAATAGTCTAGAAGAACCTGGTGGTATTCCAGTTTCAGAGGCAAAACTGGGTGCACACACGCTGAGGCATTATGCTGAGGTTTATGGGGAAAACCAAAAGATCTTACCTAAATCAATGTGTTTCCCTTCCTTCCTCCCTTCCTCCCTCCCTCCCTCCCTTCCTCCCTTCCTCCCTCCCTTCCTCCCTTCCTCCCTCCCTTCCTCCCTTCCTCCCTTCCTCCCTTCCTCCCTTCCTCCCTTCCTCCCTTCCTCCCTTCCTCCCTTCCTCCCTTCCTCCCTT